GTGAAAAAAATCATGTACACATCATAAGTTTTGTGTTTTCTTGATTATTGTAAAGGAAGTGTTGTAAGCTACATTTAAATTATTGATATACAAATAACTTTTGACCTATGAGTGGATAATACTTAATCTGTTAGGGTCTACACTTAATCATAATTGTTTTTATATTCTTGATTTATCTGAAATAAGTTGTATTATCCATATGGGCTTTCTTCAATCCATTGCTCTCTGATAATTCTTCATTAAGTGCATAGCAAAGTACTTATGGAAATAACATGATTTTCATAATCTTTTCCTTTTGATCCTTGAAGAGTACACTAGTAGTAATAGCTAGCTTCTTTACTGCTAGCCACAGTCCCCTTCCTGTACAATGGAACATCAGAATTTACTCCTATCTAATTGTAACTACGCATTGACCAGCTTCTCCCTGTCTTTATTCTCTCCTTAACCTCTGGTGACTATTATTATATTCTCTACTTCTGAAAACTTTTTTAGATTCCACATATGAGTGAGATCATGCAGTATTTTCTTCTGTGCCTGGCTTAGGTTCCTTAAAAATGTCCTCTAGACTTATCCATGTTGTCACAAATGATAGGATTTGTTTTAATAGCTGAATGATATTCCATTGTACTATGTACCACATTTTCTGTTGCATTCATCTGTTGTTGGATACTTAGGTTGATTCCATATCTTGGCCATTGTGAGTGAATACTGACTGCTTCAGTAAACGTGGGAGTGCAGGTACATCTCTTCAACATACTGATATCATTTCTTTTGGATACATACCCAGTAGTGGGATTGTTCTGTTTTTAACTTTTTGAGGCCCTCTTCCATACTGTTTTCCATAATGGCTGTACTGATTTACATCCCCACCAATACTATGTAAGTGGTCCCTTTTCTCCACATCTTCCCCAACACTTTCTTTCTTTTGTCCTTTTTTTTTCTTCCCAATAGATTTGGAGGTACAAGTGTTTTTTGCAGCATGGGTGAATTATATAGTAATGAAGTCAGGGTATTAGTGTATAGTGTACACTATTCAGGGCTTTTACCTGAATTGTGTATAGTGTACATTGTTCCTGGTAGGTAACTTTTGATCCCTTAGCCCTTTCCCACCCTCCCCCTTTCTTAGTTTCCAGTGTCCATTATACATACTACTTTGTGTAAACCAGCATTTTGCTTCCATTTTTAAGTATTTGTTTTCCCCTTCCTGAGATACTTCACTTAGGGTAATGGTCTCCAGTTCCATCTAGGTTGTGACAAAAGACATTATCTCATTGCTTTTATAGTTGAGTAGTATTCCACAGGGTAGTGTAGATATATATATACACAGTATACATGCACACCACATTTTATTTATCCACTTACAAAGTGATGGGCACAGGTTGATTTTATGTCTTTGCAATTGTGAATTGTGCTACAATAAACATACAAGTGTGTGTGTTTGATCTAATGACCTCTGGTCTTTTGAGCAGATATGCAGTAATGGGATTGCTAGATCAAATAGTAGCTTCTTTTAATTCTTTGAGGAATCTCTGTACTGTTTTCCATAGAGGCTATACTAATTTAATGGATTCCCACCAGCAGTGTATAAGTGTTCCTTTTTTATCATATCCATGCCAACATCTGCTATATTTTTGACATTTTAATAATGGCTGTTCTGATGAGGTGAAATGATATCTCATTGTGGTTTTAATTTGCATTTCCCTGATGATTAATGATCAGTTGAGCATTTTGCTTATGTTTACTGTTCCATTTGTATGTTGTCTTTTTGATAGTAGCCATTCTAACTGGAATGAGATGGTATCTCATAATGGATTTGATTTGCATTTTCCTGATGACTAGTGATGTTGAGCATTTTTTCATGTACCTGTTGGCCATTTATATGTCTTCTTTGGAAGTGTCTCTTGAAGTCTTTGGCCATTTTTAATCAGGTTATTTGGGTTTTTGCAGTTGAGTTTTTTTAATTCCTTTTATATTCTGTATATTAACCCTTTGTCAGATACTTTGCAAGCGTTTTCTCCCGTTCTTTAGGTTGTCTCTTCAGTCTTAATTCTCTCCTTTGCTTTGCAAAAAGCTTTTTAGTGATGTAATTTCATTTGTCTATCCTTGCTTTTGTTGCCTCAGCTTTTGAGATCTTATTTAATCCTTGCCCAACCCAATATTGTGAAACATTTCCCCTATGTTTTCTTCTAGTAGTTTTGTATTTTGGGGTTTTACATTTAAGTCTTTAATCCATTTTGGGTTGATTTTTGTATATGGTGAGATGTGGGGGGTTTAGTCTCATTCTTCTGCGTATGGATATCCAATTTTTCAAGCATTATTTATTGAAGAGACTGTCTTTTCCCCAGTGTGTGATTTTAGCACCTGTCTTGAAAATCAGTTGACCATAAATGTATGGATTTATTTCCAGACTCTATTCTGTTTGTTGTTCTGTGTGCCAATATCATGTTGTTTTGGTTACTATAGCTTTGTAGTATGTTTTGAAGTTGGATATGATGTTAGTCTGATGCCTCCAGCTTTGTTCTTCTTGCTCAGGATTTCTTTGGCTATCCAGGCTCTTTTGTGGTTTCATATGAATTGTAGAATTTTTTTTCTACTTCTGTAAAGAATATTACTATTATTTTGCTAGGAATTGCATTAAATCTCTAAGTAACTTTGGATGGTTTGGCCATTTTAACAATATTAATTATTCCAGTTCATGCACATAGGATATCTTTCCAATTTGTATCCTTTTCTTTTTCTTTTTTTTTTTTTTTTTTTTTTTTTAGTTTTTGGCTGGGGCTGGGTTTGAACCTGCCACCTCTGGCATATGGGGCCAGTGCCCTACTCCTTTGAGCCACAGGCACGCCACATTCTCTTCAGTTTCTTTCTATCTTAGTGGCTGCATGCCGTATCTATTAAGTTTATTCCTAGGGGGGGGTTTTTATTATTATATGTATTGTAGGTGGAATTTTCTTGATTTCTTTTTGAGATAGTATACTATTCAGCATGTAGAAACACTGATTTTTTTTTTTTGAGACAGAGTCTCAAGCTGTCGCCCTGGGTAGAGTGCTGTGGCGTCACAGCTCACAGCAACCTCAAACTCCTGGGCTTAAGCAGTTCTCTTGCCTTAGCCTCCCAAGTATCTGGGACTACAGGTGCCCACCACAACACCTGGCTATTTTTTGGTTGTAGTTATTATTGTTTGGCAAACCCAGGCTGGATTTGAAGCACTAGCTCCAGTATACATGGCTGGCACTCCAGCCACTTAATCTATAGGCGCCAAGTCAATTCTTCTTGTTTGTTTGTTTTGGGTTTTTTTTTTTATTTATTTTTTTGGAAACACTGATCTTTGTGTGTTGATTTTGTATTCTGCACCTTTATTCTAACAGTTTTTTGGTTAAGTCTTAGGATTTTCTATGTATAAAATTATCTAATCTGTAAATAAGGACAATTTGACTTAGTCCTTTCTAATTTGGATGCCTTTATTTCCTCCTCTTGCCTAATTGCATTAAGACTTCTAGTACTGTGTTGAATAGAAGTGGTGAAAGGAGGCATCCTAGTGTTGTTTCTGACTTGAGTATGTTGAACATGATGTTAGCTGTGGCTTTGCCATATATGGCCTTCGGCATGTAGAGGTACGTACCTTCTATACCTAGTGTGTTGAGTTTACTAATGCCAGAACCTTGTGTTTGCTTTCTTCCTGCATCATGTAATGTTTCTTAGTTAATAGAATTTGAACTAGAGTGATTTCAGTTAAAAATGAAATTTTAGGTTATTAGATTTTATTTCTCCAGTCACTTCCTATTCAGCCTTGAGACCAAGATCCATATGGTATCTTCTAAAACAAAACTTGTTCAGCACTCTGGGAGGCCAAGGCAAGTAGATTGTCTGAGCTCTAGGGTTTGAGACCACACTGAGCAAGAGAGAGACTCCTGTCTCTAAAAATAGCTGGGCATTGTGGTAGACACCTGTAGTCCCAGGTACTTGGGAGGCTGAGACAAGAGAATCACTTGAGCCCAATAGTTTGAGGTTGCTGTGAGCTATAACGCCACAGCGCTCTACTGAGGGTGACAATGTGAGAGTCTGTCTCAAAAAAAAAAAAAAAACTTGCTCAGTATTTAAAGCATTATTACTTTTTAATATATTTTATATAGCCCTCTGTTATACCAGTATCTATTGCTGCCTAACACATTACCCTGAACTTAACAGTTTAAAATAAAAAACATTTATTACCTCATCATTTTCTGTGATCAGAAATCCCAGTACAATTTACCTAAGCATCTCTGGCTTAGGCTCTCACAAAGCTGCAATGAAGGCATCATTCAGGGCTGCAGTTATCTCAGGGTTCAACCTGGGGAGAATCTGCCTCCACATGCACTAACATGGCCATTCATAGACCTCAGGTTCTTATTTGTTGGCTGGACACATCCCCACAACACACCCCTCTGTAGGACAGCTTACACTATGGCAATTGGCTTCCTTCAGAGCCTAGTAAACAGAAGAGTCCAAAGTAGAAGCTGAAGTTTCTTTGTAACCAAATCTCAGAAATGACATCTCGTCACTTTTGCTGTATTTTATTCATTAGAATTGTGGCACTACATTCACCCAGACTCAAGGGAAAGGGGACTGAGCAAGAGCATTAGTACCAGGTGGTGGGGTCCGTCTTAGTGGCTGCATGCCGTATCTACTATGAGTGCTGTACAACTTTACTACTTTTTACTGTGCCATCTTCACAGGATTACGCTGATAAAATTCCCTGTTTAGATAAAGCTCCCTGTGCTTAGCTTGCTGTTGTCTCACAATCTTGAATTAATCACTTTATATAGAATTAGACTCCTGTAAAGGGAGGAAACCAGGACAGAGATAAAGGAATGTTCATTTGCAATTTTACTTGTATAGCTTTTTCTAGTTATTTAGATAAGAAGCTTTGTTAAAACTCTAAGGTACTATCAAGAAAGTGTACAATTGGGAATATTTTATGCTCTGTTCATTATATAAATTCTAAAGTTTGTTTTGTTCAGGATTGGTAAAGGTTTTCAAGGCGTCATGAAAAGATGGGGATTTAAAGGCCAGCCTGCTACGCATGGTCAAACAAAAACCCACAGGAGGCCTGGAGCTATTGCAACTGGTGTGAGTATAATTAGTGATGTTCTTTTTAATGCTAAATATTCATCTTCTGCACATGAAGTGCTTAGGTCCTTGAGATCAAGTCACATAAATTTAATCTGATTCCAGGTGGATCCAAGTACTTGTCACCCTTTTTGTAGGTTCTGGCCTCACTCATTTTCCAAAGCCAGACTTTTATATCTCACATACTTAACCACTAGTCCTCAATACCTTTTGACCTACTTTCCTGTTCCCTTCTGTTTCCTGACGTGTACTCTGAAGTTGACTGCAGAAATCAGGGGTTACAGTGCTATTCCACCTGCCCTACTTGCTCCTTCCCAGATTTCTTTTTGCCTTAAAGGATCCAAGAAGATTGTCAAGGACAATATCATAGTACAGGGAGAAAGAAGGAAAGAGGAACAGTAAGAGCGAAAGAAATAGAGGGGATTCTTTGTATTGCTAATTCAGTCCTATTCTTCCAAAGGCATAGCATAAGGAGGCTAGAGGAATTTTATTCTGATTTGGTGCATCAGTGTAATACAAGATCTTTCTCTAAAGGTTGATAATATATTCTGTTTTTCTCATAATAGGAGAAACACAGATTAAAGTTGTTCTAAGATAATTTCTCACCTAGCAGATTGTGTCATAAAGCTGTTTAATTTTTGTCACTCTCTTGGCAAGAAATAGCAACAGGCACTCTCCTATATCACTGATGGGAATACAAAATATGAAGGGGAATGTGGCAGTATCACAATTACACATGCATTTACCTTTGATGCAGCAATCCTGCTTTTAGGAATTTCCACTCAAGGTGGTCTCTCAAAAATGCATTTATACAAATTTAATCATTGCAATATTATTTATAATTATAAGCGTAAATGTCCACACCTTTGGAGTTTGGATTAATAAACTATGGCACATCTACTCAATAGAATACTATATAGCTCAGGGTCCTCAATCTTTTTAAATGGGGGCCAGTTCACTGTTCCTCAGACCGTTGGAGGGCTGGACTGCAGGCCGTGGGTTGAGTCGCCTGCTAAGCAGGACAGGCAGAGACAGCAAAAACACCCAACAGGCTGGATAAATGTCCTAGGTAGGCTGCATGTGGCCCGAGGGCTGTAGTTCGAGGATGCCTGATGTAGATGAAGAGAACAATGAGAAGGTCACTATGAAACAAGGAAGTGATTTGCAAGACATTAGGAAATATACATGCTTTCTACTTATTTTTAGAAAAAGAACTAAAAGGATAAACTAGAAGTGAATGAGATTGTTTACCTGCAAGAGATGGGTTGAAACAGTGTGGAAGAATTTAGGTATTACAAGAGTGACACTTCTTTAGGTGTACTTTAGGAACCATGTTAGTGTTTTACATATTTAAAATAAAAGCAGATAAGGGGGAAAATGCAAAATGGACTATCATTAGTAAATGAATCCAACTCTTTCACATGAATAACATAACCACGCTAAAGAGGGAGAGAAAACACTAAAGCAACTTCTGAACACAGTAATGTGGTCCTTAACTTAATGATGTTTCAACTTAAAACGACTTTACATTGATATGAAAGTGACAGGCATTTATCACAGAAACTACTTTCCAGTCACCCATGCAACCATTTTGTTTTTCACTCACAATGCAGTATTTAATAAATTACATGAGATAACCCAACACTTTGTTATAAAATAGGCAATGTTAAGTGATTTTGCTCAATTATAGCTAGTGTTAAGTTTTTAGAACACATACAAGGTAGCTAGGCTAAGGATATTTGGCAAGTTAGGTCTGTTAAATGCATTTTCATATGATATTTTCAACAGAGGGCTTATCAGGCCTCCATTGTTAGTTGAGAAGCATCTAGACTAAATTTAAAATGTACTTTGTACAAAAGTTGAGTTCTAATTTAGTTTTTGCAGTAGTATCAGAATTCTAAACTAATTTTCTATAAGTTGTAGTATTGAGCAGGGAAGCATATATATTGACAACAGCAGACAGGCTTCACGCTATTGGAAAAGAGCATTAAAATATGAAGAGGGTACAGTTGTGTTCTAGCTTTCATAAGAAAGTGTGAGTAAATATAAGTTGGTTTCATAGAAGTACTGAGTACATTGGAGTACATTTTTCCTCCATTCCTGAGATACTTTACTCAGGAAAATATGTTCCAGTTCCTTCCATGTAAACATAAAAGAGGTAAAGTCTCTGTCCTTTTTAAAGGCTGCATAGTATTCCATAGTAGACATATACCGCAATTTATTAATCCATTCATGGAAAGAGAGAAATGGAGTGGGGTGGGGTGGTAGAGGGAGGGTAAATGGTGGGACCACACCTATGGAACATATTGCAAGGGTACAAGACAAATCTATCAAGTGTAGAACATAAAAGTCTTAACACAATAACCAAGTAAATGAGGCTAAAGCTATATTAATTAGTTTGATATAAGCAGTACGTCAAATTGTATTAAAAAATTCAACACATTGTACCCCACATATACATAAATGTACTCATGATCTGTGTGTATATGACTTAATTAAAAAAAATAAAGAGCTAAAAAAAATATGAAGGGGGGAAATTAGAATGAACCATATAGTGTTACATTTGAGTTTAAGTATGTATTTACTTGGGCATACGCATGCATGCAGAAAACAAATGTAAGGCACAAAGGAAAAGAAATACTCAGGATTGTCTTTTAAGCTATATTGGATACATATTAAACAACTCTTAATGCTGTGATGAGCCACTTCCACTGGGAGGTTCACTTACTAATGTGAGAGCAGATGATTGAAAAGTGTTTATATTCTAAGGCAGTGGTTCTCAACCTTCCTAATGCCACGGCCCTTTAATACAGTTCCTGTGGGTCGCAACCCACAGGTTGAGAAAGGCTGTTCTAAGGATTCATGTGTTGTGAGAAGCTTTTCTATTTTAGATATAATTTGGATTTTCTGCTTTAGATGTAGAAGTATTATCTATTGTCAGAGCCAAAATCAGAGACTTTGTGAAGGTATTTGATTTACGTGAATCAAAGAAAATTTGGACTAGCCAAACTCAAAATTCTGATAACTAACTCTTTAATCATTTTGTTCAAGCAAATCAAAACATCAAGAAACGAGGGGTAGGGCCATTCTAGCATCAGCAGTGTGGGGCATCTTTTACATCAGTGAATAAAGATTAGTTGAAAACAGGCCAAGTCATTCCATGTTTTTCTCTGAATGATGCTGTGATGTGTGTATATGTTTTTTTCTCTTTCCTATCTCAGCTAGTATTTTGTCAGTTACTACTTTGTTGTTACTGAGTTTTTCTCTTCAATCTATTTTCTAGTCATTATTTTTTGACTAGGCTCAGTCTAGTCGAATTTGGAAAGGAAATCCTCTAGAAGTAAATGTGTCCAAATTGACATTTAGATCTTTCCTGGGGCCCAGCAGAACAGGAAGAAATTACAAAACATTTTAATAATTTCTCTGAGTTCACATTGTGGTTTGATCAGTACTGTTTGAATTTGAGAGTACTTAAAAGTGTTAACTTTGGTTATCTCATTTAGGATATTGCCAGAGTCTGGCCTGGAACTAAAATGCCTGGGAAAATGGGGAACGTAGACAGGACAGCATATGGACTGAAGGTAAGTTTCTAAAGTGGTTATTTTTAGGAACAGTTAAATTAGCTACATGCAGAGGCACCAGCACGTGTATTCAATCTGTTTCTGATTACTCTAATAGACTTTATAGTTACTAGGAGCAGAGGATGCTTGAATTCTGTGTATGTTTATATGGTTGTACGTTACAGTGGCAGTAGTAGAGTAGAAATCTATAAGGAAAATGCAGTTGCTAAAAAGAAAAAAATTAGGTCTCTTAACGTGGAAGATTTCCACAAGATTTTTTTTTTTTTTCTTGGCATGAAAGATAAGATTCAGAGCATCAGGTATAGTATAGTTCTCTCTTTATAAAAGAATGAACAAAAGCTCCCTGCTTCTGTATGTTGCTGTACTATTAGATGATCACAGAGAAAAGTAGAAGGTTATATACTAGCTCATCTTGAATGATATATCAAATGTGTAAGTAGACAGAGGTAGATTTGGGTAAGAAGGAGAGAAGACAATTAAAATAGGGCAGAAAACAGCATTAAAAAAGGGTTGTAGTATACATCCATTTTTACAAATATATATTTAAAGGGGAAGAAATTAAGTTCCATTTCTACAAATTTGAGAAATATATGTAATATGTAAGTGAAAATGAGTTGTACTATAATGGGTGCTGTATAATTATATTATTTTATTAAAACAAACAACTTAATGTTTGTACAAAGAAGAAAATAAGCCGCTTAAAGACATCTGGGCCAGGTGCAGTGGCTCATGCCTGAAATCCTAGCACTCTGGGAGGCTGAGGCAGGTAGATTGGCTGAGCTCAGGCATTCGAGACCATCTGAGCAAGATTGAGACCTTGTCTAGAAAAATAGCTGGGCATTGTGGCAGACTTCTGTAGTCCCAGCTACTCAGGAGGCTGACGTAAGAGGATCACTTGAGCCTAAGAGTTTGAGGTTGCTGTGAGCTGTGACATAGCACTCTACCCAGGGCGACAAGTGAGACTCTTGTCTCAAAAATAAAAGAACAACACCCAAAGATAATCAAACATTTTGGTGTATGTTCCCCTGTCTCTATTTTAGATGTATTTTATTAATGAATTTTGACCAGTAGAAGTTTTTCAACTTCTGTATAATTAAATCTAGGAAATTTTTTCTTTTATTCTTACCAGAGACCGTCTGTTTGTCTACCCTTAGTTTTTCTATGTGTATAAGATTCTTATAGTATGTAACACCCATTATTAAATATGATCCGTGAGTTGAACTCAATTTCTTTTCCAAATACTTTCTCAGTCCCATTTCTTTACCGGTCAGTTCTCTCCCATTTGTGTAAGTTTTTTCTCCACATGCAGATCTGTTTGAGGACAATCTGCTTAACTCATTTATTTCAGAAATTAGAACCAGTGAAGTTGTGGCTTCTCCAGTTTCTAGTTACAGCAAGCTAGTACTAACTAAAAATAAAGTTGAATTTCAATTTATTATTCTTAAGAGGCCCAACATATCTAAGTGGTCTTGTTTATTCAGTCATATTTCCATTTAAAATGAACTTTCTACCATTTCCATTAAGATGTATCTGTGATAATCTTACATTACAAGTCACCATAGGATTTGAAGTTTTTCAATTTTTATTCATCATTTTGAAGTGCTAATATGAGTATTACTTTACAGGCTGCTTACATCCTCAGCTTTTAGTAACATTCTTTTAATACAAGTATGTTCTCAAATGTTTAACTCTCAAAGTTTGGTTTTATTCTTTAGGTATGGAGAATAAACACAAAGCACAATATAATCTATGTAAATGGCTCAGTACCTGGACATAAAAATTGTTTAGTAAAGGTATGTATAGCTTTTTCACATTGTTCATATATATAGACATGTGCCACAAATTCTCCTTTGACTCTTATATATAGCTTAAAAATAAATAACTGTTTTTCCACATGTTCTCTGCTGATTTTTTCTTGCACCTGAATGAAAAAAATACACAAGGTAAAGTATATCTTATGTCTATAAAACCAAAAACTTGTAGTGACCATAAGGAGGATACTAGGCTAATTATTGCCAAAAATAGCTGTCTTTTCAAAAAAGATCATTTTGGCTTTTTGAAGTACCCATCTTCAGATAAACAGGTAAAGAAAATATGGGGTATGGGTGTGTACTGAGTACTATTCAGCCATGTACAGAATTAAATTCTGTCATTTGTGGCACCATGGATGAACCTGGAGGACATTATCGTAGGTGAAATAAGCCAGCCGTGGGAAGACAAGTACCACGTGATCCCACTAATGTGGAATCTCAAAAAGTTGATCTCATGGAAACAAAGAGCAGAACATTGGCCATCAGAAGCTAGAAAATGGTAGAGGGAAAGAGAGGGTTGGTCAACAGGTACAAAGTTAGGGTTAGAATAAGTGCTGATGTTCTGTTACACAGTAGGTGACTATAGCAAATTATATATTTCAGGATTCCTAGAAGAAAGGATTTTGAATGTTATCACCACAAAGAAATGGTCAATGTTTAGACTGATTGATGTGCTTATTACCCTAATTGGCTCATTATACAGTATACACCTGTATTGAACATTATATGGCACTCCATAAATATGTACAGTTGAATCTTAATTATAAAAAGACAACATTTTAGCTTTTCTAAAGAGTCCTTTGACAAAGGAACTGGAAATATGTAAGTTACTTTCTTGTACTTTCTTGTGATGGTAAAAGGTAGACATTTTAGAGGGAGGTTTATTATTATTATTGGCCACAGCTGTAATTACACTTTTAAGTGCTTTTCTTAAAATATGTATTTTTATTTTAGAATTCTAAAACAAAGTAATAAAAACATATAGATAGATTTTAAGAAAAACTCTTAAGCTCTCAGAGATTTACTTTAATCACATAAAATATAAAATAAGTAATTCTGTCTGGGATTTAGGCCAACGTACAAATTCTCTGACTTTAGAGTTTTTCATCTCCCATTCTGAAAATAAATCTATATTAGAAGTGATGTCAGCTATATCCAGAAGTATATTCTTCGTTGATTTTCCAACAATAATTTCAGCAAAAAATAAAATTTAAACTTAAACCTCAGATTTATTTGGTGTTTCCCTATATCGTCTCTCTTTTTAAAATAGGTTCCATTACTAATATAAAGTGTAATTATTTTTACTCTTACAATAAATAAAAGTTTTACTTTTAAATTATTGCTCTCATTTTTCTTAATGAAAAATGCATTTGATAAATTTTTGAAAAGTTTTTTTGTTTTTACTTTTAAGTGGGTTTATAGCCTTCTCTGACAGGTAGTTGAAGCCAGCAGGGTGTCATTGTACTTCTCATAACATTTTGCCTTCATAATTAAATGTGTCCCTAGCTCCACATTCCAGGTTACAGATTATGAATATCATAATCTAATAAAAGAGAAAAAAGTTGAGAGATTATTTTCTGTAATACAGTTATACTGTATAGCAGATTAATTTCTAAATGTCAAGTCCTCCTTTTCTGCCTGTTCTACTGCATAAAGATTTCTAGGCTTGATTTCTAGCTGCGCCTTAACCACTGCTGCAACTTGTGAAGTACCATCTTAGCGTCTTGTTTGGCACCAACAAGGATGAATAGTTCAATTATCTTGAAAAGCTATAGAATGTACAGTGATATTATGTTGTGGTTGTTACAGATTTAGGGGAAGGGGCTAGGGTGTCATAGCTCACAGCAAACTCCAAGTCTTTGGCTCAAGCAGTCCTCTTGCCTCAGTTTTTCCATCTTTAGTAGAGACAGTGTCTCGCTTTTGCTCAGACTGGTCTTGAACTCATGAGCTCAAGCAGTCCATGAGCCATTGTACTTGGCCTACAGATAGTTTATAACCAGCAACATTTAGTATTCATATTTACTGACCACTGCAATAAAAGATTATTTTCAAAACCTCAGTCTACTTACTCAACCAGTGATGATTCACCATCACTAAAAATATTCAGAAAGTACACTGAAGATAGTTCTGAAAGAGGGGTCTAAATGTATTTTGACAAACAAGTCATCAGAGCAATGTCTAGTCCACTTTGATCTGTTATCAAACTAGTAAATATACTTATAACAAACACATTTTGATTTAAAAAGAGAACTCTATACTAAAAGAAAAATCTTCAAAATATAGTACCTACATAACTAACCTTAAACAAATGTCTGTCTCTAACATTGACATGTGGCTCTGGGAAGTGACTTATGGGTTTGTCTTTTCACCCCCATTGTTTCATTTCTCCAGTGATCCCATAGCATGGAAATAAGGCCCTCTTTGCCCCTGGAGATTGAGCCACTCCTCAGAGGGCAGGTTGTTTCATTAACATCCACTTACCTCCGAGGAGGTCAGAGTACAGAGCTACCAAGATTTTATTTTATTTTTTTTAGATTCCATAGTTAGTAAAGAGAGTCTTAGGAATGATCATCCTGCTTAATTAGCATAAGATTTTTGCTAATTTGGATTCACTAAATATATTACGAGAGCCTAAAGAACTGTTGTTTACAGCATAATGTAGTCAATGTTATTAAATTCTATTCATTTGTGCTCATTCCTGTGTTCTCATACGTAAAATTTATTTTCAGTTTTGCTTGGATTTATTGCCTGTTCTTTCCCCATCTTTCCTTAAAAGACTTAAACTGGTTTGCCAGTAGACATAATTATAAAAAGAATGAGATAGATAGTTGAGTCTTGGTGAAGGCAGGAAGATAATAAAGGCTGGGGTAGGATTAAGTACACACCAAATCTTACGCATTTGTTAAAGATGGGCTACAGACTTCAGACCCTCAACTTTAGAGCCACCAAGACAAAAAAGACTTAGATGTCATCATTTTTATTTCAAATTGAAGAATTCCACTACTGTAGCATTTACAGTTGGATACATACTTTTGTTATGTAAAATATTCCTCAAGTGTAATGGATTTTAGAAGTGTAGAAACAACTGAGAAGTAGTTCTTTGAGACATTAATGACTAATTTTTATTCATCAGATTAGCACAAAGTTTTGTTATGATTGGCTTTTTGCTTGGGTTTATTTTCGGTGTTAAATACCAAAAAAGTTTGAATTCGTAAAAATATTTTTTTCCTAGTTGTGGCTCAACCTAAGATTAATGAATTAGGGGGAAAAAAACTAAACAAGTTTATTTTCTCCTGGGCAACTTACTAATAATTTCTTGAAACAGTCATTAGAGATTAAAATAGATCTGTTTTTCTGTACTTAACTGTTCTTAGCAGCTGTGTGCTTATTTCAACTAAATTATTCATTTCTTATTGCCAAACTGATTATGGCTTATTTTACTCTGTGTATATAATTACATGTAATCATTTTTTAATTTCACTATGAATGAAGGCTGTAGAATGAGTCAGAAGCTTTAAAGAACCCAATAATGTTTTCTAAAAATAAAATCTAACATTTTAGATCACATTAATATCTATACTCAAATTCTTTGGTCTGTGAATTCACAGATATAATTTGAATTCTTTTTTAGAGCACAAAGAGTTAATAAGGCTCCTACAAAGACTTACAGGTCTCTTACTGTTTTTGCCAAATATAATTCTGTCTTTATCTTCCAAATAAGAATGCTGTTTACTAAATGTAAGCTAATTTTCTTAATAAAAGATCATATTTTTGGTTAGGTACTTTTAGAGTCAAGATTAACAAAAATACTAATAAGGGTTTTTTATTAACCTCAGCTCAAAATATCTGTGCTATATTGGCTCAGTGCCTGCAGCTCAGTAGTTATTGGTGCCCAGGCCAGCTAAACCAACAATGACAACTGCAATAAGAAAGTAACCAGATGTTATGGCGGGTGCCTGTAATCCCAGCTCCTTGGGAGGCTGAAGCGAGAGGATCGCTTAAGCCCAAGAGTTTGAGGTTGCTGTGAGCTGTGATGCCATGGCACTGTAGCAAGGGCAACATAGTGAGACTCTGTCTCAAAAAAAAAAAAAAAAAATTTTTGTGCTAAAGTAGAACATAAAGTAATCAAAATAGACACTAAAAAATAGATAATTATTTATCTATTAAAATAATAAAATTATTAAATAATAAGATAGATAATTATTAGGTATATAGTTTATGTCAGGTAAAAATGAATCGATATAAATGATGTTTGAGTAGTAATTTCAGAATATAACTTACCCTTTTGGGCTGTTTAGGAGATTTATAAGTTATGATAAGATGTAAAGTAATAATTAGTGACTTTTATTCTTATAAAATAGCTGATTAACTTGAGTTTTTGTCATTGATTTAATCAGATTTTTGGAATAAAAAGAATGCATTAACTGAGTTCTTTTTTATGCTCTATATATCACAGTTGTGTTATTCACATTAGAAAGTGTAGGAGCAGGTATTCTTTGATTATGAATAATAGATAAAACAGACTACCTTTAAATAACTTAATTGGTAGTACTTATTAAAGTAAAATTTTTTGCCTTTTCCCTCAGGTCAGAGACTCTAAACTGCCTGCATATAAGGATTTCTGTAAAAATCTACCATTCCCTACATATTTTCCTGATGGAGATGAAGAGGAACTACCAGAAGATTTGTATGAAGAAAACGTGTGTCAGCCTAGTGCACCTTCTATTACGTTTGCCTGACATCATTGGACTTGGCAGAACCTTACATATTCTGGGAGCACTGATGAGCCCGAATAATAATCTAACCAGAAATTATATTCTTTCCTAGTCACAACAATACCACACTTGTCATCTCTGTCAAGGACAGATCCCTCATCACTGAGTTGGATTTGGTTAGAATAATTACTTTATTAAACATATATAAATTAAGTAGATTGGATTTGCTAAAATTGGCAGTTTGCATATTAGCAAAATATTTGTAATTCGTGGACTTCATTATTTTCTACACCTTTCTGGAGATAAAATGTATATAAATTTAACTTTTATTAAAGATCTGTCAACCTTTTTTGAAAGAGTGGTCATGATACAGTAGAAAACCGTAAGGGGACTGTGGTGCAACTTATTTGGGTAAAGAATCCATTTGCTAAAATTCACTTTTATTATTTTGCATTTCAAAGAAGAAAGTAAGTGAGATTTTTATTTGAATTACAGAAATATATGTTGAAGGCCTGACAAAGGAAAGATAAAATCATTAATTATGGGTCCTGTTTACACTTCTGTTGGAGCAGTAATTATTTTTTAGTTTGATTACTCAGATGTAAGATTGGTATAATCATTTTTCTATGATGCCTTTCAAAAAGGAGTTGTACGTACATTCAACAAACTTAATCAAGTGTTACTCAAAATGTTAATGGCTTCTGGGTTTCTTTTCATTGTAAGAAATTAAGACATATTTATTAATGGCTACTCAAGACAAATAATTAAACTTAACAATGTAAGTATAAGCAGATCTCATTTAACTACTCAATTTCCTCCAAACCAGATTCTTGATTTTTATCAGCCGAGAAGCTTATTGATCATAGTGTTGTGTTAGGTCTCCACATGATTTATTTATGGCTAATAAATTTGTATTAAAAGATGCAGTAGTGCTTTCCTGGCCATATTATATCTTTCCCATTTTCACTTTAAATCCAAATCCAAAAACATCTTTTTTAAAGTTTTCATTTGTACTTATCTTATCCATTAAATATTTATGGCAATTGAGAGGTAATTCACTCAGTAAAATAGTAGGGAGGATATGCCAAAAGAGTTATTAGTTTACTGGCTAAAAACTCCCTCACAGACAGTGCCAGGGGAGCTGGTGCATTGTCATGATGTCAGAGCCATGAGTTGTTGACCAAGGTTTTCAGTTAGGATTTTCCTGTTTCGGCCAGGCACTGTGGCTCATGCCTGTAGTCCTAGCACTCTGGGAGACCCAGGTGGGTGGATCGCTTGAGCTCAGGAGTTTGAGACCACCCTGGGCAATAGAGAGACCCTGTCTCTACTAAAAATAGAAAAACTGAGGCAAGACGATCACTTGAGCCCAGGAGCTTGAGGAGGTTGTGAGCTATGAAGCCATAGCACTCTATTCAGGGAAGCAGAGTGAGACTCTGTCTAAAAAAAAATATTTCCCTGTTTCTCTGCTAATATTTACTTGATCTGCTATCCTTTCACAGCTGATGATTTTGACACAATTTGGTGAATTTTTGCGATGTTTCCATCAGTTTCGCTTGTTACTAGCTGTCCTGACCTTTCTTCATCAGTGACGCTTTCTCTCTCCTCAGAAAACCATTTAATCCATTTGTTCACTGCCATTTTCTTAATGGCATTCTCATACTCTTGGACTAACATATCCTGATTTCACTTACATTCTTGCCAAACTTAACAAGAAATTTAACATTTGTTTGTTGCTCTAATTCAAGTTCCAATATTCTCACAGTAGCACACAAAAACACATAACAACAATAATGAACACTCAGCAAGATACTGCCACACATTGACACAAACACAGCTGTGGGACACTGATATACCAAGGTTATGAAACCACACCAAGCTGTTTGTATAGTTCTGCCAACATAAGCTCACAGTGGCAAGCTGGCAAACCTAATTGTCTGAACTTTAATTAGCTGCATTTGATAAAGGACCCTTTAATGAACTTACACATGCATCAAGTTTGCTGGTAAAGCATAGGAAAAAGCTCTTATCTTGTAAGACAAACGGTGATTGCTGGGAGAACGTAAGTCTTTTTCCTGCATTAAGTATTTGTGCAAAGATTTAAAGGAATCAACTCATGAGTGTAGCCAAATGATAGAAGGAAAAGCCAAGGAGCAGTTTGGCAAATAATTGAACAGAAATAAGATGTTTTCAAGAAGGCAGGGAACCTTCACTAGAGAGTCTGCCGCAAACCCACCCCATCTGTCACAAGTCAGCAACTGGTCTGCGGATCTATTTTTAAGGTTTAAGGAGACAGTCTCCAATCAGCTTTTGGGATCACAATGTGAGCTCTGTATTTCAGAGCCAGACAGAGAGCAAAGCATCTAGTCTCAGCCTCCATCTTCCACTCACTCCCCACTGCCAGCACCTTGTCCGGAGCTACCCAACTATTAAAGAGGATCTGGGTCACATTACTGCAAACGGGTTGGCCCAGAAGAAATGTCCAGAGTTGTGTCCTACCGAGCTGGATGGAAAAGGAGAAAGCCTTCTCTCCAGTTAATGAGCCAGAGACCACCTGGTCGAACATGAAGCAAAACACTTGTGATTTGCTAAGAACCTTGGGTCACTGTTTCTGCCTATAGCACAAGCAGCTTGCCTGAATACCAGCCCTCAAATGTTCAACTCAAAAATGGAAGAACCTTGGGTCTCTGCTTCTGCCTACTATGGATAGGAAGGATATGGCCCCATCCTAGGCCTGCTCACCTCTCTGGAGCCCAAGCAATACTAGAAGCCTACTCCTGACCAGTGGTGACTACCAGACAGTTGTGGAAGCAATTCAGTTGTCAGCAGTGGAGCCCTACTGGATCTTGATTTGAGCTTGAATTCGATTTATTGTTTTAGATTTTATCTTGAAATGGGGAACCTTTTTGTAACTGAACTTCTTTCAAATTGGACATTTGTTCCAACATAATTGACACTAGCTATTAGTGATTAAATAGTAATAAAATAGGGAAATACTGAACCTTGTATAATTCTTCAGGCCTCAGAAAGGCTGTCTGATCAAGAGGTACCTACTTTAAGAGTTATCAAGTATTGGTCATCCTCCTTCCTTTCAAGGAAGTTTACCTTACCTGCTGGGATAGCTGAAGGTAAAATGTGATTTTTAGTTAGTCCTATCTCTATGGTGGGCCCTGGCATGGGAAAATTAGATGATAACAGCTATGGTAAACACTATTAATGAAAGCATTTCTTAAATACAGCAAGTGTAGGGTATAATTTAAAAGATTTTGATGTTGATTGGACACCAGTGGCTCACACCTGTAATCCTAGCACTCTGAGAAGCCGAGGCAGGCGAATTGCCTCGAAATTGAGGTGAATTGAGCTCAGGAGTTCAAGACCAGCCTGAGCAAAAGTGAGCCTCCATCTCTACTAAAAATAGAAAAACTAGCCAGGCATTGTGGTGGGCTTCTGTAGTCCCAGCTATCTTAGGCAAGAGGGTCACCAGAGCCCAGGAGTTTGAGGTTGCTGTGAGCTAGGATGCCACAGCACTGTACCAACGGCACAAGAGTGAGACCCTTCGTTAAAATAAGTAAATAAATAAATAATATATGTGTGTGTATATATATAAACATGTATGTATAGATAGATAGATGTTAATATACATTGACACACTGACATCTCAGAGTCAATAGCAGCGCTTTTGCAATCTTAAAGATTGCGTTTCCATGTCTGATTTCATTCCCTTAGTAGGATGCACATTACTCTGAAAATTTCCATTACTGCCTTTTCTGCCTAGAAGTCACCAGTTGGAAAGCTCTTTCCACTTTTGCAGGAAATGTGTCAGGAAGAATGGGCTTGTACTGCTTATTAGGTTCTTATAAATAGTTTCACAGTAGAGTACTTCAGTGATGACGTAGAGCATGTTACTAATACCTGTGTCACTGAACTGCTGAACCCAGAGAGCATCTGAAGACAGGCACACAGAAGTAGGTCCCCATGCTGTGGGGCACCTTGGAGGAACATCTCTAGAAGCCTTACAATCCTATGTGTCATTTGATGGCTACCCGTTTTCTATATAGGAGGAAGTTCTTCACATAAGTTTATTTGACTAAGGACAGGTAACCTTTCTGCGGCCTTCAGGCCTTTTCCATGAAGTTGACTTTGCTGTAACAACAGAAGTTTCTTCTTCATTTTCTAGTTTTATTGCGCTGTCTGCTATAAAGCCTGTCCACTAACAGTGACAGTGCTCTCTCAAAGCATGCCTTACTGGGCAAATAATGACTCTCAATTTGGATGCTGCCTCCAGCAATTGCCTAGAATTCTCTGAAATGAGAGGACTCGCTTAAAGTGTCACAGTTCCCTCCAGAGTCCTGAGTGGGAAGAGTCGCCAGCCTCAATTTCATCATTCACTTTTCTGCTTTTGATTGTTGTTTACAAAGAACTTACAGCAGTTTGTGTCACGCATTGTTTTTTATCTTTTTTAGATTAATGAGGTGGCCTGTTCAAGTTAAGCAGGCCAAATCAATCTCAATGAGTGCAATCCCTAGCACCAGAGAAGCAAATGAATGATTTTAACCCAACGGCCAAAGAATCTTCTTGGCACAAAAGGTGCATAAATGTTTCTCTTTGGCATTTGACTGGGAGAGTGAAAATGGCGATTGTGATCTTGATTCTCCAAAAGCAGACTTTATATGAGCACCAAGTATATTTTAAAGCATTGAGAAAGTTTGTTGTTTTAATGAAAATGGGTAAGACATCCATTAAGTTCTGACACTGCGCTGAATTTGCTTTATTTGGAAAGGAGCCAACTAAATATTCTGTCACAAAATTCCTGACAAAGATTCATGGATGACTGCATGATTGATGCCATGTCACGGTGAATAATAATAAATGGCTTTCTTGGGCATCCAAGAAATTTTCTTATCTCAAATATTAGTGTATTTAAATGATGAAGCAAGGGTGCTTCAGAACTGTTGGCTGCCTGTTTTATTCTGCTAACTGCAGGAGCATTAAATCCGATGCCTTACCCTGCAGAGGACAGGCGGGCTTATCTCCCCTTCCTCAAACAGGGAAAGCTTGACAGGTTACTAATAACAGCCAACCCATTGCTAAAATATCATCAGTGACAGAATGGAGCTCACAGTATCCACAGAGGACATGGATATTTAGGAAAACATGAGCGAGTAGGTAAGGAAAAAACTACTGATAAAAGGAAAATGCATAAGGAAAAGACCTGTTACATAAAAACTCTCGACATTCTTTACCTATAAAATTAGTGCGGGCAGCATCTTCTCCCTGCTTGTGGGGTTCATTTCTCTAACCAGCAACCAGTGAGGACACTGCCATGGGAAAGAAGGTTACAATTCAATGATC